ATTCATGAAGTTTTTCCTCCTTTTTGCTCTCTCATCTGGTGATCTCCACACATCTTCGTTAATAGGCTTGTTCTAATAGCTTCGTCTGTCGGAAGGATAGGATGTGATGAAGGAATGCGTCTGGTAAACTACATATTCTACCCCTGTCCTCATCAAAATTATGTTCTAATCCGACTCTCAAATTCTTGGCATTTCTCACAGGAGAACTAATACCCATGATTATCTCAGCTTCCCCAAAACAAATAACAATAGCCAATACTGTATGACATAAGGAATGGCTGGAACATGCACTTAAAAGCATTTCTACATTGTATTAGAGAATTAAAGAAAAATATAAATCAAAGCAACCATCGGTTGGTTAAATTGAACTAATTATAGTCAATGCTACTGATTCAAATTAACTTCCTACTAATTTCACATACAAGTTTCAACATTTCAAGCACCCAAAAAAAAGGACATTAATGTTTTATAGTTTTCTCATTTGGTGAAGTTCAATTGTTAATCCGACATCATAATCTATATTGTTGTCACTATCAACTTAAACATCAAAATCCCAGAAAGCAAGTAATCTTCTTCTTCCTAATTTGTGGAAAAGCAATAAAAATCATTAGACAGTTGTCTTAGAAAACAGAAATGCATAGGAAAAGGAACAACGCACCACAAACAACTTATAATCAAACAACGTGCAGTGCTTCAGCAGCTAAAATTGGACAAAAGAACAATGCCGACTAACCTTTAGATGCACAGTTGCATGCTCGCTGTCTCTGCCCCAATTACCATACCTTAATATCGGATATTTGGTTAAAAGCAAATAAAAAAATTGAAGAAATCTCTAGAATAAAACTATTTTATTCATTTATATTTTTTTCTTATTACAATACTAAAATTGCATTAAAATATATAAGCTAAAAATTGAATATTCTCAACCTTAAAATCCAAGATTTTCATGCATTAAAACAACTAATCAAAGAAGTACTTTACTCTCTACACATAATAGAAAAATATCTAATGAATTTGGTGTAATTACCCTAGTCACTCCTTATTCTAAAAATAAGAGACTTAACTAAAATAGACAAAGTCAACTAATCAAGTAATAGTAAAGATTAGATTTTTACACTCCCCTCAAACTATGGGGTAAATGTTAATCATGCCCAGCTTGGACTTCAGATTCTTAAAGTTATTTCGAGAAAGAGCCTTAATGAGTATGTCTGCAATTTGGAGGCACATAGGAGTATAAACTAATCTAACAATTCCTTCCTCTATCTTTTCTTTGATAAAGTGACGATCAATCTCCACATGTTTAGTCCTATCATGATGAACAAGATTCTTTGCTATACATATGACAGCTTTTTTGTTACAAAATATCTTCATAGATTCTTCTGTAGAGACCTTTAACTCCCCTGGCAATCTTTTTAGCCAAATTTTCTCACATATACCATGAAACATAGCTCTAAACTTAGCTTTCGCGCTACTTCTAGCTAGCACATATTGCTTCTTGCTTTGCCAAGTAACCAAATTTTCTCACACATAGGTACAATAATCAGTAGTTGATCTTCGATCAATAACGGTTCCAGCTTAATCAGCATTAATGTGAATTTTATTATTTTCACATGATGTCTTTTTAAAAAATAACATTTTGCTATGACTCTTCTTTAGATATTGTAAGATTCGATACATAACCCTCAAGTGTTTCTCAGTTGGATTGTTCATAAATCTGCTTATCATGCTAACTGAAAAATTGATATCTGATCCTGTATGAGAAAAGTAGATAAGTTTCTCAACAAGTCTTTGATATCTACCCTTATTTATTGGTGGACTTCCTTTTTCCATTCCTACCTTATTCATTGTGTCCATAAGGGTGTCAGCAGGTTTGCATCCAAGCATTCCAGTTTCCTTTAGTAAGTTTAGGACATACTTACACTGTGAAAAAGAGATACCATTTATTGAACAAACTACCTCCATGACAAGAAAATATTTGAGGTGTCCAAAATCTTTGATTTCAAATTCTTTGCCTAAGAGGTTATTTAGGTTGCTAATTTTTTCACAAAGTCTCCAATAAAAATAATGTCATCCACATAGATAATAAGAATGGTTATTTTTCCTTCAAGCGAATGTTTGACAAACATGGTGTAATCGGTTTGGCGTTGTGAAAAACCATACTTCTTTAACACTTCTATTAATCTATCAAATCATGCACGTAAGGATTGTTTGAGACTATATAATGACTTTTGAAGCTTAAATACCTTGCCAAAATTGTCCTGATTTTTGAATCCTAGAAGGATTTCCATGTAAAATTCTTTTTCTAGGTTGTGATTAAGAAATGCATTTTTGACATCTAGTTGGTGGAGTGGTCAATTTAAATTTGCTGCCAATGATAATAACACTCGGATTGAATTAAGTTTAGTAATCGGAGCAAATGTTTTCCCATAGTCAACACTATAAGATTAAGTAAATCATTTTGCAACAAGACGAGCTTTGAATTTGTTAATACTTTCATCTGCATTATGCTTGATAGTAAAAATTCATTTGTACCTAACTGGATTTTTTTCTTTGAGTAGTTTTGAAATCTCCCATGTTTTGTTCTTTTTTAAGGCTTTGATTTCTTCCAAAATAGCCATCTTTCATTTTGGTTGCATGAATGCTTTATGAATATTATTGAGAATCTACATATTATTTAGTGTAATAACAAAAGCTCAATAACTGGGTGATAAACCTTCATAAGAAACCATATTACAGATTTATTGTTGAGTACATGATCTCACATATTTTTTTAAAGCAATTAAGTGATCAAGATCATCAAAAGATTCAATTGAATCAGATTTAGTAAGAGTGTTACTTGTGTTGGTTTCAAGTATTTTTAGAATCAGTTTAAATTTTTGGTTTTGCTTTGAAGGTGTACATTCTCCTAGATCTTTTTGAGTTTTGTCTTCTTGAATAGACAATCAATTCTTTGTTTATTTTACCTTATGTGGACTTCGGACTTAGATGATTTGATTGGATGTTTTGGACATGAAAAGAAGTTTAAGAAGTGTTTTAGTAGTTCGGTAATAGGATCTTCCCAAAGCTGATATTCCTGTGTGATTGGATTTTTCCCCTGAATGGCAATTTGGGAAAGTAATGTTGATTTTTTAAAAAGATGACATTTATGAAATGGTAGAATTTCTTTGTTATTGGTGAGTAACACTTGTATCCTTTTTTATTCGAGTATTCAAGAAATATGCATTTGATGGATTTGGGATCTAATTTGCTTTAGTTTTATTGGCTAGTAAAAACAGATACAGTGTATCTAAACATTTTAATAAGAATAGACAAGATGATTTTCAAGGTGAGGATAGGAACCAAGAAGGAATTGGTAAGAGCTTTGAAATTTCAACACTCAAGAAGGCATTTTGTTTATAAGATATGTAGCGGTAAGAACAGTCTTATCCCAAAAATGCTTAAGTACATGGGCAACCATCATAAGGGATCTTGTAACTTCCAACAAATGTTGATTCTTTCTTTCAACAACGTCATTCTGCTGAAAAGTGTTGACATATGAGCTTTGATGAATTATACCATGCTTCATTAGATATGATCCAAGAATTGAATTATAATATTCTCTCTTAATGTCAGTTCTCAACATTTGAATTTTGATTTTAAATTGAGTTTGAATCATATTGTTAAAGTTTTGGAATAGTTAATCCTCTTTTAATTTTTTCTTCATAAGAAATATCCAAGTAACCCTAGTGTAATCATTAATAAATATGACAAACCATCTGGAGTCAATAATGTTATTTACTCTGAAGGGACCCCAACTGTCACTGTGTATCATTGAAAAAAGATGAGATGATTTATAAGGCTAATTAGGATTAATGGTATAAGTATGTTTGGATAGTTGACAAATTTCACACTGAAAGTTGTTAGGATTTTTATTGAATAATAAGGGAAACAATCTTTTGAGGTACAAAAAATTTGGATGAATTAATCGATAATGTCACAACATGATAGTATTATCTTTATTATTACTGGAGAATGAAGCCACACAAGAGGTTTTTTGATATTATCTTTTAGAATCATTAGCTTTTAGGATATAGAGTCCTACACATATCTTAGCATTGCCAATCATTTTCCTTAGTCCAAATCCTGAAATTCACATATATTTGGAAGAAATTTAGTAATATACTTAAGGTTTCTTGTAAGTTTACTTATAGACAGTAGATTGCAACTTAAATTTAAGACAAACAGAACATAATCAAGTGTTATCTCTTTGAAAATACTAATAGAACCTATACTGATTACTTTTGAAAATGACCCATCAGCAATTCGAATTATGAAATTTTCATGACATGGGCTGCATTTACTGAATACAAATGCATCTCTAGTCATATAATTTGACGCTCCTAAATTCACAATTCATGAATTTGATTTCTCTAGTTTTACACTCAAAGCACTTAAAAAAATTATTTTTTGTACTAAAGAACATGTTCAAATAGGAGTAGTAATGTTCTTTAGTGATTACGAAATGTTAACTTCGGGATTAGATATAACTTTTGAAGTCAAGCTCTTTTTTCCGTTAATTATGCTGGATTTCGAGTGAAAAAATAAAAAACTTAACTAAAATAGACAATGTCAACCAATCAAATAATAATGAAAATTAGATTTCCACAAACAACTGATAATCAAACAACGTGCAGTGCTTCAACAACTAAAATTGGACAACAGAACAATGTTTACACAAGGAAAAAAAAAAAGAAAAAAAAAACCTAATAACAAACAAAAAGTTTATCCTACTAACCTTTAGATGCACAGTTGCATGCTCGCTATCTCTGCCCCAATTACCATACCTTAATATGGGATATTTGGTTAAAAGCAAATAAAAAAAACAGGTAAGAGAATCAATAATCAAAGAAAATGTAAATTTTGACAGGAATAAAAAAGAGCATAGATGTGTTTCATACTAGTTAATAATTAGTCAAATAGCCACAGCCAAATGGTCCGAAATTGTTTGCTCGTAATCCAGACTGAGGTGAAAAGGTAAAATATTGCAAATGCTATATAAAGCTAAAAGGCTACCATACGCTTTGCATGTCCCAAAAAATGTTAAAAAGGATAAAATCAAAAGGTTGATAATGGCAGCTATAATTAGGCAGTAAAAGTTTTGGTACAAAGCTACATCGCAGTTCACTGATCCTTCAGGAAGAGTTGATAATAGGTTGATCTTCTTTTCCTCATTGCAGTTAAGCCATAATTTCTCTAAGACTCTTGCAGTTTCAAGAAAACTCTTTACCACCTGTAGCTCCTCTTCAGTTGCATTAAAGTGCGCAAATTTGACAGTCTTCAGTCGGGTCAAGAAGCATGCAGGCGGTGGATTGAAAATCTTATCATCCTCCTCACCACAGTCAGACAAACGGATTCCCTAAAAGGACAACATGAACCACGTTTTCATCTCTAATAACAGAAATATAATGATGCAATGACTTGGTACTTGGGACAATATAGCTTCAGAAACTGAAGAGATTCAAGATGAGGTGATTTTTGGAGAATGTTCATCAGGCCTCTACAAGCAAAATCCATTGGCTCCTCACACAGATCTATATGCTTCAAATGATCAAACAATGGGAGATGGGCAGCTAATTCTTCTGCACAAGTGAGAACCTAGAAAAGGACTATAGAGCAACGAAATAAACCAGGAGTATAACTAAAAGGTTATTAAGGCTCTTAACATTATAAAAACAAAATGATGACCAAGACATTAAATAAAAGTGGTGAAAAATCATACTACATATATCAAGGGTATCATATGATATGCTTAAATGTTTCAACGAATTTGCTAACCCCCTGAGAAGCTTGTGTGTGCGATAAGCTGCTAGTCTACCTCTTCCCTCTCCTTTTATAACCACGCTTTCACCGACATTAACAACTGCACTAACCAGAGAGGGTGTGTCAACGATGCAATAATCATATTTGAGTTCACCTCGATAACCAAACTGTTTGAGTCTCATTCCAGAAATTATAATTTGACAGTCAGGTGGATCATAATTGTCAGCACTATATTCAAATATTAGCATGTCTTCAAGCATTGGACAGGAAATATAAACAGCCTCCACATTTTCCCATATGCATTCATACAGAAACAATTTCTCTAAGCTTGGGCAACTACCAGAAAAGAGCTGTTGTACCAAATGATGATCAGCAAATGTTACTGATACAAGAGTCAAGATTTTGAGACTTGGAAAGGAAATAACAGAAGGAAGCTTTAGATCATAAAAGAACTGCAGATCCAAATCCATCAGTGATTCACATGTAAAAAGGCGTTGAGGCAACACAAACAACCCATTGATATCTTCGAAGGAAAGACGTAGCATTAAACTCTGAATTTTATGCCTTATAGCAGCATATATCCATGTATTAATGTGGGGTCCATCAGATAGCACACAGCAGTTCAAGTAGAATGTTTGTAAGCTTGAAGAGTCACGAAGCAGAAGGACCCTTTCTACAAAATTCATGAAGTTTGTCCTTATTGCACCCTCTTTTGATTATTCTTCAAATTCAAGATTGGTGACGGACAGCCACAAGAACTGCCATCTTTTTGACAATATGCTTGATCTTACAGCATCTTTTGTAGGAAGAAAGGATAGAATTCGATGAAGAATTGTGTCCAGCAAACTGCAAATCCCACTCCTACCCTCATCCAAATTTCGTTCTGAAAGAAGCTTCTTAGCATTTCTGATTGGAGAGCCAATATCCATGATTATCGCAGCTTCACTAAAACAAATCAGCAGGTCAAATAAGCATGGCATGGAGAACAGTAACAACATGAACTCAGCAGAGCATTTCCTTATTTTATTACTTAACAAACAATAGGTTTCTGAAAAACTAATAGAAGTTCACATACTACTAAAATATAATTATATTAATTTCTCATAAGTTCCAACTTTTCAATCGCCAAAAAATAAAATGGCATTCAATTTTCCTTAATTGGTGAAGATGAGTCGTCAGTCCAACAGCATAACAGTCGTTATTCACTTATTTGCATCACTATCAACATAAATTTTCAAAATCCCACAAACCACGTAGCTTTTCCATTTTTTAAAAAATTATGAGGCGAAAAATAATCAGAGAATCATCATCACAAACCAGAAATGGAGAAAGGAAACAAAACACCCAAAAAAAAAAATCAAATACTCCAACGTCGGCGGCTGTTTTAGCAGCTGAAATTGGACGAATAATGCTCAGAACAGAAAACGACAAAAAAAAAAAAAAAAGAGAAAGAAACATTTCTATGACAAACCTTGAGGCCTAGTTGCAAGAAAATTCATTAAATTTCAACATTTCAATAACCCTATAAAGGAAAAAAATTTTCAAGTTAAAATTTTCAGTAGCTAAAAGAAAAGGAAGAACTCGCTGACCTTGTTCGCAGAGTAACCCCTGGATTCACATTTCACAGTGACTCAGTGAGTTGAGTTATTTTTCGTTGAACACAGTGAGCAGAAATGTTTCAACTCAACTCTGGGCTTTAAATTGAAGAAAAAAAAAAGAGCTTCTAAATGCACCGTTTTTTTTTTTTTTTTTTTTAATGCTTTTTACACGCAAAATTTTAGATTAATGTCATGATTATCGAATTATTATAAAATATTTAATGTAACATTAAAATTTTAAAAAATTTTAATATTATATTTAAATTATAAATTTATTAATTAATATGATATTAAAAATTATTTGTCCGTTAATATCATAGTTTAAAGTTAATTATATTAAGATTAAGTACTATACAAATAAATAGATTTATAATTCAAATATCATATTATATATTTTTAAAGTTTAAACACTACATTAAATATTTTATTATAGCTTCAGAACTATTCATATCATTAACCAAAAAAATTTTTATGAATAAAATATCTATTAATAAATTACTTAATTATATTTTATAAAATTATTTTTTGTCCTTAAATAATTTTTTATTTATAATGTTTTTAAAAATGCATATTAAAAAAGTTTAAAATCTTCTTGAAAATGTATATTTAAAAAATTTAAAGATTTTTTAAAATGCATTTTTGGATACATATTTTCAAAAAATCTTTAAACTCACATTTTCGAAAAGTTTAAAAATACATATATGAAAAATTAAACTCTTTTCCAATTTATTTTTGCAAAGGTTCTCACGAAAACTTTAGAAGTTTTTGAATGTACATTTTAGAAAAATTTAAAAAGCTTACAAATTTATATATCTAAAGTTTTTTATTAAATTTTGGGGATTTGAAGAAATCAAAACTTTTAGATATTTTTTAATATGCAAATTTGAAAATTTTTAAAATCATACAACAATGTATTTTCATAAGTCATAATTTTTTAGAAAATACATATTACATAATGAAATACTCATTCAATCACTTAAACATCACAAATAAATTATCAATGAGTTATAACTATTAATCATGTTGAAAATTTAACAATTGATAACCTTAATATGAATGAGAATCAAAGTGAAAGAATTGGAGAATGAAAAAAATCAAAAGGGTTTGAGGTGTAAATGAAAAGGATAAAGTAAGAAAAGAATTATGATTTTAGGGATATAGTGAGCAGAAAGTAGAAATAAATTTAAAAAGTTTGAATTTGAAGTGTTATTAAAAATAAAAAAGGTAAAAAAACTTTATTTATATATGTGGAGCCCATTTTAAATCATTATTGCTATAGGGCATTATTAAACAAAGGATAATAATCGTTGGATTAATGTTTTTTTACCGTGATTATCAAATTTTAGATTATTTGCATCTATTACCATAATAAACTTGAGTGTCAAATTTGGATTCTTAGCATTCCTCATTGGCAAGCTAACATCCATGATTATCATAGCTTACTTAAAACAAATTGTCATTGTCAAATATAGAATGATATGTGGAACAGCGACAACATGAATCTAGAAGAGCATTTTTAATCTTTTTTACATTGTGTACTATCAAAAATTAAAAGAAAATATAAATCAATCTAATCAACTAGTCATACTCGACAGATCTAATTAAAGTCACCAGTACTCAAACAAGTTTAAATTAATTTTCTCTAAGTTTTAACAATTTCAAGCACCCAAATAAAAAAGAAAAAATTTACAGCATTCAAGTTAAGTGGTTAATCAACATCCTAGTAAATGTTACAGTCATTATCAACTTAAATTTCAAAATCCCAGAAAGCATATAATTTTTCCTCTTTTTTTTTTTCAATTTTGATAAAGAATAATCATTAAATCACTATCATTTTAAACTAAAAAAGAAAACATCAAATAATCCAACGTTGGATGGTGTTTTAACAGTTGAAACTAGACAAACATGTGAAGAGCAGACAAGCACAAAAAAAGAATGGGAAACAAGATATATTTCTCTGACTAACTTGAGTTCTTGAATTCACAGTTGCATGCTTATTGTTAGACTTGGTTATTTATGTATTCGTGTCGTATAAAATATTAAAATTTATGTATTTGTATCGTATTTTACATTAAAAAATACATGTCAAAATTCGTATCGACATGACAACATAAAATCTATTTTTTTGTTTTTTTAAACCCATATATAATTATTGTTAAAATTTTAAGTTGTATCATTTTCATATCCTATTTTCGTATTGTATTCATGTTGTATCACTGTTTTGTGTTTTAGATTACCAAGTCTACTTGTTGTCCCAATTTTCAAACCTTGATTTCGAAATGGGGATGCTCGGCTTAATACTCAAATATGCCTTCAACATTTTATACAAAATGGATTTAAGCCCTTAATGTTTTAATGTATACAAATCTGTCATTATTTTTTTTTATTTTTATGTAAATAAATCCATAAACTTTCAAATTAATGTAATAAAGTAAAATTTCATTAAACTAGACTAACTGTCGTTAGTATAGACACGTCATCCAATATGGATGATGATGTGTAATTATCAGTTCACATTGATAGATTACATGACATTTTAGCTAACATAAAAAAAAATCATAAAAAAAATGCTAAGTTAAAAAAGTGCCTTAGTTAAAAAATAAAATTGAGAAGTAAAAGTTAAAAATTTTGGAAATAAAAAAAAATTGGTGCTACCATTGGGGAAAGAGAGGGTTTCTTGCTACAATTTAAGGATTCCATCGAATTGAGGTTTAGTCAAAGGGATTTTGAATGAAACAAAAGGTTTGTTGCATTTAAAGGCTTTCAAGGTGTCCAAACAATGACCTTTTTCATTCAACATTAAAGAGAAAAAGGATAATCAATCGATTTTGAGTGTTTTAATTTAAGCGTTAGGTTAATTTAATGTTATTTAAAGAAAAGATTTTGATAATTTATAGGTTTTCAGTGATTTAGGGTTTTTTTTATATTTAAGTTCTTGGTGATTTAAAGGTTTTAGATTTAAGGATTTTGGTGAGTTAGGCTTTTTTTACGTATGCGTTTATGCTATTTAAGGATTTTAGAAAAGGATTTTGATTAATTTTAAGTTTTTTGAGCTGTGAGTCTTGATTGATATAGAGTTTTAGGAAAATGAATGTTGTAATTTATGGTTTTGAGGAGAAGTGCTACTATTGGTTCAAAATTTATTAGAAACTTATGCAAAACTTAGACAAAACTTATGCTACTATTAGAAGAATTTTTGAGAGACAAGTAGAAATTTAGGTAAAGGTTTGTAGGAAAAAATGCTTGAGTTAAATACTTTTGTATAGATATTATATTTTTGTTAATTTAACTTTTATGTTGTGAAAGTTTATGTCTAATGAAGTTTATGTGCTACATCAATTCTGTCATTTGTGGTTGAGTGGCACTATATGTCATTGATTGGTTTTTGTGTTGTTAAGATTTTTAAGCTATTTATTGTTATATAATCCCATGTATTGCTGCTTGGTCCCATGTGTTATTGCTTAGGTCTTATGTTGTTAGATTATTGTGCTTAAATGTTATCAAGTGGTCCCACATACATTGTTAAGCCATATGTTGTTAACCCGTATCTCGTTTGGTTTATCTTATTAACTTATGTTAGCTTTTTCCTTTTGGCAACATGTAGAGAATTGTCAATCTAAAAATCTTTTATAAGGGTTTTTATGTTTGATCCTAATCTAAGATATGTCAATAATAAGGTCGATGATGTTGAATATGATTATGATAAAATCTGTTATCCTTGCTTGGTTAAGCTAATAAAGATAAGAAATTGTATGAATATTGGTAAGATTTTTTTTTTAAGGCTCATAATGAGAATATAAACAATGGATTAAAGTTGTTAGAGGATGATACTTTTGTAATTAATTTAATTACTATATGAATATAATGAGGTGGTTGTGAAATTTATGTGGATTATGGGGTGGATAATCCCATTTTGATAACAGCACACCCTTATTACCTAGGCCTAAATCATAAATAGTAAGGGTAAGACTTGATAAATCCAACAATAGGATTGGAGAAACTTTAGGTGTTAAAAAGGATAAGGTGATGATACTAAAGTTGAAAATAATGGTTGTGAGTGATGGTCATGAAAATGACAAGTTACTGATAATGACTTGTTACATGATGTAACATGTTTATCAAATGATGATGATGAGGTTAAGAAAGCAAGGAAGATTTCGGGTAATGGTGTAATAAAGAGAATAAAGAGAGAAAAAGAAACGATAATGAGGCAATACTTAATAATGATAATAAGGTAAGGCCTAGTGCACCAAACCAAACAATTGAAGTAGGACATAATATTAAGAAAAAGAAAAAGAATAAAGAAAATTTGAAGAAAAAGCAAAAGAGGCAAGTTTCACCTTCTAATGCTAAAAGTAATCATAGCATAAATAGATCTGCAATGAAATATCTTAAATTTTTTAAACTTTTTAGCTATGAATTCGAAAAAGATGATGGTGAGAAAGTTGAATCATTGCAAAAGAAGACTATTTTTTTTTCTTATGATATCTTTGATCTTAAATTAGGTATGTTATTTAAAGATGGCATTTAGTTAAAGAAGCCATGGTGGATTATGTTGTTCACACTAAAAAGTATATTTGGTTATTTAAGAATAAGCTTAGAAGATGAGGGTTCTGTGCTAGTAAATGCCCTTTTTAATGCATTACCAATTATGAAGATAAATTGAAATGCTTTCAAGTAAAGACATTGTAAATATGTATAGATGTAATTGCAAGTACAAGTTACAGATATTAAGTGCAAAGTGGCTATCTAAAAACTTTAAAAGTAAGATAAAGAAAGAACCATACTTAAAGCATATTAAGCTACATTTTCATATGAATCCAAGTTAAAGTTGTTTGTATCTATTCACAAAGTTAGAAAGACAAAGTTGATAATATTGGCTAGTACGCAAGATGCCTTTTCCAAAGAGTTTTCTAAATTGAAAGATTATGTTGATGAATGCCTTAATCAAAATCCTGGTGCATTTTTGTGATAAAAACAAAGAGGGTTGTTCCCATTTCATCACCATATTTTAAAATGATTTATTTATGTTTTGCTGTCCTTAAAGAATGATTCAAAACAGAGTGTAAGAAAATGATAAGTTTAGATGGCTGGTTTTTTTAAGGGTTCAATAAAAGAGAGATATTAATTTATGTAGGTAGGGTTGCAAACAATCAAATTATCTTATTGCTTGGGTTGTGGTAGAGAATGAAAATTTGGATTCATGAAGGTGATTTTTGGATCTTTTAAAAATTGATTTTGATTTAACCAATAGTACACCTTGGATTATCATTAGTGATCAACAAAAGGTATGATTTTGTATCTTATTTTCTAAATTAGATTTATATTTAAAGCCTATTAACTATAATTGTTTTCCATTAATTGTGTTATTGTCATTGTTTTGTAGGGACTTATAAATGTTATAGAAGAAATATTCCTTTAAGTTACGAATAGAAGATGTGCTCAGCATATATATGCAAATTGGAGTAAGATTCATCGAGGCAACATAATGAACAAATATTTTTGGATATGCACAAATGCTTAAATAGAAAGACAATTTAAAGATACGTTAGAGTTATTGCATAAGAAAGTTAACTTTGGATCGGTAAATGAAGACTTGTTGAGAAATATCCCCAAAATATTGGTGTTAGGTTTCTTTAGAAATATCCTCAAAATATTGGTGTTAGGTTTCCTTAGAAATATCTCAAACTATTAGTGTAAGGTTTTTTTTTGAATAGATGTTAACTGTAATGTGTGCCACAATAACTTATGTGAAACATTTAATGGCACTTTGGTCAAAGCCAAACATAAGCCTATTATCACCATGCTTGAAAATATTAAAGTGGCTATGATGACAAAAGTAAGTGAGAAAAGAAAGTTTGTTACAAAATGGGTGGAGAATCATGGTCCACTGGTCATGTTAAAATTGATAAAAAATTTGGAAAAAACAACTCAATGGCATGTTATTTTCAATAGTAGGGATGGATATGAAGTTAAGTGTTAGGGTGCAATTCATAGTTAATCTTACTAGAAGAACATATGCTATAAATCATGAGATCTAACTAGTATCCCATGTTTTTATGCTATTTGTATAATTTTTTATGATGGTAGTCAGCCTTAAGAGTATATCCATAAATACTATTTAAGGGAAATATTTTTATTGACTTATGAACACACTTTAGAGCATATCAATGGTGAAAATGAATGGCCAAAAATAAGTTAGAAGTCATGTAGCCTCATTTGATGAGAAGAATTCTAGATAAGCCAAAAAGGAATAGAATTCCAAAGCATGATAAGCCTAAAGCTAAATATAAATTATTTAGAAAGGGCATGATCATGACTTATTAACTTTGCAAACAATCAAGAGACAACAAAGCTAGCTACCTATAAAGAAGCAACTTTGTTCGTACATCTAGCTTTGAAAGTTTTTGTTTTAATACATTTTATTTTTTCATTTGCAAACTTGACTTAGTTTTTCATTAACTATCGCTATGGCTTGTTTTTTACAACTTGTTCTTAGGTTAAAAGATAGTCAAGTAGTTCAGTAAGAAGAATAGGCAAAAAGGGAATGGGTAAGGACAAACTAAATCAATAAGAGGAAAAAGACGAGGAAAACATCCTTCTGGTAGAGAAAGTGCTACTATTAATTCAAGAACAAATTATGTAAATCCTAGTTTATGAGAGGTAAAAATTGTTATGAAAATTATCTTGCTTTTAGTATTTTCTAATTTTATATTTATATTTATGTTAGCTCCAAGACTAGCTCAAATAGAGTTAAGTAATGTCCAGATGGTACTTCATGTTACTGCAAGAATAATGTTATGATTATATTTATCTTTTATTTGGTTGGATTAGATTTATTTTTTATTTACCAGATAAGATAAGATTTTTTTGTTCTTTATGTGATTGCAAAAATAATGCTATGAATGGATTTGTTTTTTATTTGGTTAGATTAGATTTATTTTTTATTTGCCATATAAGATAAGGTTTTCTTATTTTGTATAAAAACTATGATGCCTAAATTTTATATATGGTTTGACATTTCATATGCCTCTCTAGGCATATTTTTAGCTTATTGTGTTGGTTTATGCCTTTTACATGACTATTACTTGATCTTCTTAGTCTAATTCTATATAGCCTCACCATTTGTCGATTTTTAAATGGTGCTATTTTTCCTTCATATTCTTGCTTTAATGTTACTTTTGTAACATAGCTTCTACTTTGAAGTTAAATGTATTTAACATTTATTAAATAGCCTTTAGCTTATTCAAAAATGTTTGTCTTGGTATTAGATGTGAATGAAATTGTATGGAGTATCATTGGGATAAATAAGACCTATGTATTAACCGTTTAGGTTTGATCTATAAATGTGTATATAAACAAGAAAGTATTGATGCAAGTTAAATAAGAAAGTGTTACTTAACAACAAGTATTACATGCAAGAAGAAAAATAAAAGAACAAAATAGGCCACTACATCTATTTGACATTGGTTTATTTATTGAATTAGATACTAGAAAGTCAATTCTAAATGCAAGCATATTGATCTTTTCAAATTGACAAATACTTGTGTTTTTAAAAATGAACTAATTTCTTACTTTTTTTTTTTTACTTTGTCTTTCATATACAGTTTGGGACACCAAGTGAAACTTTGATTGATGAAGGCAATACAAGTGGGAGACCATATGCTAACAGCAAGAAGTGAACATGAATGTTTATGTTCAATATTAGTTAATATCATGACTTTGTTTTGTTGAATTTGTTATCTAGCAATCCAAACTAATAATTGCTTTTTGACAAATGTAATTACAAGTTCATGGTTTAATGTAAGTTAATTGAATTATGTTATATATGGCTTACTTTTAAATTTACTTTCAGTTTATGACATTTTGTAGAATGGTGTTGTATATGGATGTTGGTGACATGAATTTTTTTTCATATTTTACCTATTTTATTTTCTGTTTTTATTTTGTTTTTCTTTTTTTATTTACAAGTTTGGATGGTGATATTTGCAATTTTTTTCTATTTATTTTTTTATTTTTATTGTATGATACACAAACAGTCTAAACAGTGAAAGATATTATCTGTTCAAAGATATTGCATATTCTTTTTCTATTTATTTACTCTTTTTGTTTCTATTATATGATACATAAGTGAATCTAAATGGGAAAAGATATTAGTTGTTTTTGCTTGTTTATTTTCTTTTTTGTTTCTATTGTATTGTAATTTTTGACTCCTAGTAATTTTTTTATTTTTTGCAAATAATATGTCAACAATTCATGTGAACATCATTTACTAAGTTATCAAGTCAATTATCAAAATTAGTCTAATTTAATAAAATTTTATTTAATTATATTAATTTTAAAAATTTGTGAATTTATTTATATAAAAATAAAAAAAATAAATTAATTTGCATGTGTAAAAGGTTAGGATTTAATAATTTAATAAAACGTTAGGATTTAAACCTATTTTGTATACAAGGTTGAGGGTACGTTCTAGTATTAAGCCGATGCTCCAAAGGGTTAAATACAATTATATAACCTTAGTATTTAGATTCGCAGTTCAAACGATAATAACCGTCCGATTCTTTCCATTTTTATTGGATCGTTAGCTTATGAGTATCCCTGCTCAAAATATTTGTAACATCCACGTCAAATGATACATTGTGGGCCCAACCTTTTTGCCGAAAACTTCCTTTCCTTCTCAACCGTGGATTAGACCAGATCAAGGAAAGAAAAGTTTTTATTTTATAATTTTATTGTTATCTCTATCATATCTGAGAAAAAAAAGAAAAAAAAAAAAACCTTCACGAGAAAAGTACCGGTAACTCCCATTTTTTGTGACACTAAAACTGTATCTGTTTCTCGTTCGATGCTGGCAATAAAAAACCCAAATTCAATCCTTATCGTTTCACGGTGGGCTGGAAACCCTAGACCCTATACAGTTTTGCTAAATTTTCTCTGAAACCTGTAAGGAATCATAGAAATCCTACTTTCCGGAGAAAACCCTATTAATTTATCATCTTTCCTTTCAACCAATAACAACGGTAGCACTAGCAGCAAGGCCATGTCCAATGAGCTAGTGCAAAAGCAACTGCCGTCGATATTGGAACGGTTTAAGGCTTTATTGGAGCAGCGGGAAGATGAGCTTAAGGTTTCCAGCGGTGGTGGTGATCATGAGGTGGGGGCATCGCCGAGTACGGAGGAGATTGTTCAACTTTACGAGGCTGTGTTATCGGAACTAACTTTCAATTCGAAGCCGATAATTACTGATCTCACGATCATTGCCGGTGAACAACGGGAGCACGGCGAAGGCATTGCCGATGCTATTTGCGCACGAATTGTTGAGGTTTGTTACAATTAGGTTTTCCATTGCAACTGCCAAGTAATTTGAACATTTAAAAAAAATTAATTCCAATTTTATTGCTTTCAGGTACCAGTAGATCAGAAACTTCCTTCATTATATCTATTAGATAGCATTGTAAAAAATATTGACCGAGAATATGTTAGGTATTTCTCTTCCCGTTTGCCAGAGGTGAGTCACTGGCAACAATTTTTGGTGAAAGTTCATTTATTTATTATTAGCTTATGTTGATTAATATTGTCTTTGGTTTTAATTTGATTAGGTTTTCTGTGAGGCATACAGGCGAGTTAACCCTCACTTGCATCCTGCTATGCGCCATCTCTTTGGTACGTGGTCAACAGTATTTCCACCTTCTGTCCTCCGGCAAATCGAGATGCAGTTGCAATTTTCTCAATCAGCTAATCCACAATCGTCTGGTGTAACTTCCTTCCGGTCTTCTGAATCTCCTCGTCCAACACATGGCATACATGTTAATCCTAAGTACTTGCGGCAGTTGGAACAACAGTCAGGTGCAGATAGTGTAAGCTTTCTGTTGAAAACTTATGTTCTCCCTAACCTCTGTTTTACAGTAATGTGTGATTGCCAAACAGTAGTTTAGATTCTTGCGTGTTGCTGTGTTCTGCAGTCTTCATGAGTAGCTCACTATTTAGGGTAAACATTGCAAAAACATGGTTTTCTTTTGGAATTTTTTGAATCAGATGTTGCTAGCAGTTTTAGATCCTTCTAAACAGAATTGCTTTTGGTACTTAAGGAACATTTTAATCTAAAGCTGAATTAGGGTTTGATCACAAGGGATAGGCTGGAATGGAGGGTTTGGGTTGACAGAATATTAAGGGCTATTGATAAATTAGGATTTGTTTTGGTAAAGTTATTTGCTGAAAATTAGTTGAATTTCAGCATGAGATAAGATTTTAACATGGACCTGTAGCAAGTGATGAAACAGCTAGTTTTAGCTTCTGTTCTGTGTTGAAGAAGAGCAAGCAATCCATAAGTGCAATTACTTTAAGAAACTTGTAAAACTAAACTCAAAACTGTATTGGAAAACAACTGAGCTATTAACTAATTATTCTGTTTATTGGGGGGATAGGGTGGGGAAGGTTTATTGTCTCTTTCATTGTTGACTAAAAAACTTAAGAGCTTTTCCTTTTCTTGTTAATAGACCTCTTTCCTTTTTCCCCTCTTTTTCCTTTCCAATTTTGGGTTGAACCCATTTTCATTTCAATTTTTGTTTAGAATTTCTTTCAATATGAACCGTATGATTTTCTTGCTAGTGATTTTACTATGACTGTGGCTTTCCTGACTGGTAAACCTGTTGAGAAATCTTTTTAAAACTTCTGTTATTCATGTGATTTTACATGCATGTATATCTGCACATGCATTGTACAGAATGACATCTGAAGTGTGAAATATTTGCAACCTTTGCAGAATACTCAGCGTGGAAGAGGCACGCCTGCAGGTCTAAATTTGTATGGTCTAAAGCATACCATTGGATATGATGAATTTAATTCTGATCATACAGAGGCTCCATCCTCACATGTTGGAGTGCGAAGATTGAGCTCAACTGGAAATGTCGGTAATACTTCTGTTGCAATTGGAGCTAACAAGTCACAACTTTCTTCAGCTTCCAGAGTTTCAAAACCCTTCTCACCATCAAGGACTGGATCTGATAGACTTTTATCATCAGAGGTAGATGATCTTCCATCAGATTATTCTCCTAGAAGGTTTGTTGAGGGAGAGGCTCATCCTGTCTTTGATTATGGGCATGGAAGAGCAATCATTAGAGACGAGGAAACAAGGGAGTGGCAGAGGAAGCACTTTTATGATGATTATCGTAATCATTCAGAAAGTTCTTTGAATGCGTACAAGCATACTAATGGACATGAGCGTCAAACACCCAGGGCTTTAATAGATGCATATGGTAATGATAGAGGTAAAGGAATTTCTAACAGCAAGCCTGTACAAGTTGAACGGCTGGATGTAAATGGAATGGGCAATAAGGTGACTCCAAGGTCATGGCAGAATACTGAAGAGGAAGAGTTTGATTGGGAAGATATGAGCCCTACATTAGCAGACCGAAGGAGCAATGATTTTTCACTGTCGTCTGTTCCAACTTTTGGAAGCATTGGGGCAAGGCCTGCTGGATTAGAATCTAATAGTAGGAGCAGTGGCACTACTCAAACTCAGCTATCCCTTGTAGATGATTCTTTAACAATTCCTGAAGATGCAGTCTCTTCACTGAGTGTATGTTTGTTCAACATTTATCTGTTCCCTTTGTTGCTCAAGCATCCTTGTTATTTATAACACCACTCAAGCTATATTTGTACCTGGAAAAGTCTGCTTCGTCCCCCTATCTTTGTTCTACTTTTGTAGACTGTTGTCATTATTTCTAGTTTTCATCACTGTTGATTTTGCTATCTCTTAACTTAATTTTGTTGTAGATGATTTGAATAATAAAATCTCATAAATCATGAATGTTTGGGTCTTTATGCAGCCAGTTTGGCTTTCTATGCTTTTTATTTCTCTGTTGTGGTCCCTTCTGGATTTCAAGACACCATTTTCTGTATCAATTTCTCGATTTATGGCATCTGCTCTTGTGTGTTTAACACTCATATGGTTGGTGGATGTCTTTCATCTTATATTTATGCATGTTTTCTGCAGTCTGGTCGTGGGGCGAATCAGATTCTGCGTTCGACTTATCCTCAGGAGGCTTGGAGTTCCTCAAACCTTTTATCTCAGTCATCACACCCTTTCCATGCCAAAGGAAGAGGAAAGGAATTTCAAATGCCCTTTTCAGCTACTGGCATATCCTCATTAGGTGGTGGCAAAGTTGTCCCTTGTATTGACAAATTACCTGAGGGTGGTTCACAATTTGTTAGGCCTCCTGCTGTTGTGCCAAGAACTGGTTCTTCTAGCCTTGACTCTGTTTCTGTTGGAACTCGGCCATCCATTATACCATCAACAACTGGGGTATGGCCTCCAGTGAATGTTCATAAATCTCAGCCACCAACCACTCACTCTAATTATTCACTGCATCAGCATAGTAGGAGTCAATTTGATTCTATCAATCCTATCAACGCTGTCATGAATCAGGGTCAAAATAAACGTTCATATATGCCTGGACAGTTTGATAGTTTTGAAAGGAAGGAGCAAAGCTTGACAAGGGTGCTACAATTTCCTGATCAACGCCCTGCCTTACAACAGCGAAACCAATTGCATGCAACTTCTTTGCAGCCTAACTTTCTTCCTTCTCAGGAGGTTCGAGAAAGTTTCCTTCCATCTGCAACAGGACCATTACCACCTCACTTACTGGCACCATCGTTGAGTCATGGATACACTCCACGAATGCATGGTGCTGTCATCAGTGTAGTCCCATCTAATCCAATACCAGTTGCACAGCCTCCTTTATCGGTCCCAAATATGCCAACAGGCTCTTTGCTTTTACAGGGGGGAGCCTTAGCCCCTCTTCCTCCAGGCCCACCTCTGACATCTCAAATGATACCTGCCAATCATATTGCAGGTCCACTGCACCCTAACCAACCACAGAGTGGTGCATTTTCTGGTTTGATTAATTCCCTCGTGACTCAAGGTTTGATCTCATTGACAAAACCAACCCCCATACAGGTAATTATTTGGTGAGTTTCTTCTGTACTGATATATATGTTTCCAATTTGCTAAGATTGTATCTCACTGAAGCAATTTATTTTTTAGGATTCTGTGGGACTTGAGTTTAATGCAGATCTCCTCAAGGTGCGACATGAGTCTGCAATAAGTGCTTTATACACTGATCTTCCGAGGCAGTGCACAATATGTGGCCTTCGGTTCAAGTTCCAAGAGGAACACAGTGCTCATATGGATTGGCATGTGACCAAAAACCGGATGTCTAAGAACCGGAAGCAGAAACCTTCTCGGAAGTGGTTTGTGAGTGCTAGTATGTGGCTTAGTGGTGCGGAAGCTCTGGGAACTGATGCAGTTCCTGGATTTTTACCCACTGAGGACGTTGTAGAAAAGAAAGATGATGAAGAATTGGCAGTACCTGCTGATGAAGATCAGAGCCTATGTGCATTATGTGGTGAGCCTTTTGATGATTTCTATAGTGATGAAACAGAGGAGTGGATGTATAGGGGGGCTGTCTACATGAATGCACCCAATGGATCATTTGAAGGCATGGATAGATCGCAATTAGGTCCTATAGTACATGCTAAATGCAGGTCAGAATCTAGTGTGGTCCCCCCTGATGATGTTGTACGGTATGATGGGGTATGCATTTTTATCTTTGCCTCCAAATTGCATTGTCATATTTGTTTTCCTTGTTGCCAGTATTATCTTTAGTAGACCATTTATATGATTTCATCATCTTATTCAATTCCATTTCAGTTCCTTAATGCTTCAACAGACCATTCTCTGTCAGCTTACTGCATTCAGTTCGGGCTGAAATGCTGTTTGTGTGTTAATCTTGGAAAGTAAAATTGTAGTGGAACTGAATACTAAAATAAAATTTAGAAGTGGATATGGATGGGAAACTTCTCTTGTAAATATTTTAGAATAAAACTTTGAGAGTTCAATTAGTGTTATGAAGGGGAACAAGTTCTTATCTGGCCTTTTTGTGTTCAGGAATGTCAAAATTTTACATGATTGATAGCTCGCGTATAGATGTAACTGAAATACGTTAAGATTATAACTGCATGTAGTGCTTCTTGTTTCCTGCAATTATTTTGGACGCTTCTTATATCCTTGCTTTTCTGAATGCTGAGAGGATGTTGTGGCAGGATGAGTTTTGTGAAATATATATCTTGTTATTTTATCTTATATTTTCTTCCCCTCGTTACTTGTAGGGAAATTCTGAGGACAGTAGTCAAAGAAAAAGATTGCGGAGTTAACCATGTTAGATCGGCTTCTAAGCTTATGTAACTTAGTTTGAGTTTCATGTTAGCGGTATGCTCTTAGTTTTATGTTAGTGTTGGTGGTTGCAGTAGCTTGTCAGACATGCCAAAGCCTTGTACATGTATAGTTGAACTTGTACCATGCACAATATCTTGCAGCAAAAAGGTTACAGATTCACTCGCAGCCTTAATTTTGTGGCATTCTCCATGTTTCTTTCCTGCAAAAAGATCTGGAGGAACATTTTAAACATTCTTTATCGTGTCAATAGTCACAGCTCGAATCCTTAAAATGTTATATGGGGAGTATTGCTCTGTTCCCCATGTCTTTTGAGTTTTGACCATGTATGTAGTTCTCGAAGGAGCTTTGGAGGAGTTCCTGCAATATATAATTTTTTTATTCTTTTTTTTTTTTTTTTTTGGTTTCTCCTTGTGATATTCTGCATGGTAACATGGCAGTTTCAATTTGCAGATGCTATTAGAAAGTCCATCTTGGCTGATGAACTGATTGAAGGCAGCAACAGATTTTATGATTACTTAGGCTCTCCACTTCCTTTTCCCTTTGGTTGCGAATTTTCATGTAACTTCTATTGGTTTTACTTGAGATATGGTTAATGGTTAATGTTATGTTGAATACCGGATGGTTAGACTTCATTTGTTTTGTAGAAAATAATTAAAAAAATAATCTGTATTTTTTTATATTTGTTTGGAAAAAAAATTGATTGGTATTGACTTGCTCTGATAAAAAAAATTGATTTGCTGATGACCAAAAAGTATTTTATTTTAAAATTATTTGACCTTTTTCAAAAGTAAAAGGACCAACTTTCAAAAAAAGAATTGTTTACGATTGTTCTCTGGAGTCTGTGAGCTTAATTTGATTTGAATCAGGCTATTGATATGATTTGTTTAAATTGAGATTTAACTTGATAAAATATAAAATGTTATTATACTAATAAAAATATTTTATTGAATTAAAAAAATTAAAATATATAAATATTAATATAAAAAAGTCTTTTTAACTTTTAAATTTAAATTTAAGGCATATGTTTTTTCACCTTTTGGGAATATGTATGCGAGTACTAATCCAGCAACCAGCAGCTATTCTTAAATAGAGTTTAAAATATATAAATAAATATAAAATTAAATTAATAATAAAATATATAATTTATATATATATACATAGAAATAAATCAAGTCAAATCATTTTAAATACGTTTTTTACGATCTCGGTTTTTATAAAAAATTTGACTTGTCTTAATTTGATTTTGATTTTAAAAAATAAAAAAATTCAATTAGGTTTTTTTTTTACAAATTTATTTAAATAAAAATAAAAAGTTGGCAGAAACTAATGAAAAAAAAAGAAAAGAAAAGAAACATAAAGTGTTACATTGACATTTTCAATGAGAGTGAAATAAAAATAAAAATAAGTAAAATTTATATAATAAATAGATGAATGAATGGATTATATCTTAATTATTTATAGATATAGTATTTTTATCTTTAAAATAAATTATTAAAAAATTCCAAAAAGAAAGTTCGGTAGTCTCACTTTTTAAAAATTAAGATCTTCAAAACCATTTATAAAATATAAAAAATTTTAGCAAAAAATAAAAATGGTAAAATAACACCAGAAAAGAAAAAAGAAAGTGGCGTGGCTTAAAGTTTTATCACGTACTGTTTATCCGTACATCAAAATTTAAGTATATAGACTATTATCCGTACATAATCAAATTTAAATATATAAATAGATGTCTAGAATGATATTTTTCTATTTTGGCTATTTAAAAGACCCAAAATTGAATTTCTTCCACTAATCTTTTTAATCTTAACTAAATGTTTAATGCTAATTTGGGTTTACAAAAATTGAAAATTTGAAAGAGTGGACACAAAGGAAGGCAAAGAGTCTTAGCCCAGCCTGACTTAATTCCAGTATGGCAGATTAGACTTGGGCTTGGAATCAGTGAAAAGTGTGATATAGCTTCGACAATATTCTAGTCTCTAGCGGAACCCATTCAAAATGGAAGCTCATTTAAGCATCCTAATTGACTGCAAAAGCATCCCCAAACAAGCCCATTCTGAATTGAGTTGTTGGTTCAAATAGGTCTGGTACAAACATTTCATCATGAACATGAAACTTTATGTAGTTGTATTCATTTTATGAAACTATAACCAAAACCATTCATCAAATAAGTTTCACAGTCGATTAAATGACTGATGATATCAACGTCCTTTCTACCTATCTTACTCTTGTTACAGTAATTAATTACTACTACTTTTTACGAGGATCTTGATGGCCCAAACGTGGAGGAGCCTACTCATTGATGAGCAGATATAAATTCGTGGAGCCAGTCAGCCAGGTGTTAAAAAAGAATTGGTTATGCTTATGTATGCTCTGCCTTCTGCTTTAATTCCCACTCGGCCTTCGTGGTCCTTGCTAAATTTTAATTTTTGCTGCAGTCTCATCCCACAAGGACGCTGGCAGCCTTCATATAATTTTCCCATTGGGAACGTATATAGAAGGTTCAATTATTGTACATATTAATTTGTTCAGACTAGTTAATTTGATATTTATGGTCAGGGATCTTCACCTTTTTCAAGTCTAAATCGGATCCTCCGGTCTGTGATTAGTAAGTATGGTGATTTTTTCTTTCAACTACGCAGGGTTATCCAATAGAAAAACCGAGGCAAACCTAATCAGCGTCTGAATTCAACAAAGGCACAATGGTATAACAAGAAACACCCATATCTGTCCACTCTCTTCGACTTCGATCTGTCTATAATAGAGAGATGAAGACATATATATGCTAATGGAAGCGATCAAGGAGAAAAGCATCAAGGAAGGTTGCTAGCTGGTTTTAGTCTTTTACCAATCAATGCTATAACTATTCCAATATTTCTGTCGTCATCGTCAATCATCGGGTTAATAAAAAGTTGAGACTTGAGATAGGTATGGTCTACTGTTTATTAAGTTTCTCCGACAAGTTAAAAAAAAATATATTGATAGCTCTTTTTTAGACAAAATTAATGGCGACAGCAGTATACAACTATCTGTTTTAATAGACAATGTTGCCATTATATTTGTTACCCGTGACAATTCAATTTGGTGGTGGCACCGAAATATAAATGTTTTTGATTATCGTCCAGCGACAACAGTAACAATAATAGTAGCTTACATAGAAGCATCTATTAAATATTTAACTTAAAATCAATTAACAGTAAATAGATGAACTCAACTTAAATATAAAATTATAAAAAATTTGATATTTATCATACGTGAGATAACATCATATTAACAAGCTTTCATCATGTGTAGACAAAGATGAAAGAAGCTTTCCTTGTAATAAATTAAGAAAAGGTAATGAAAAGAAAATTTTGGCTCTGATGTCATATTAAGTATTCAACTTAAAATCAATTGACAGTAAGTGGAGAGGTTTAACCTAAATATAAAACTACAAGAAATTAGATATTTATCAGATATGAGATAACACTATATTAAAAAGTTGCAATCTGTGGCTCCACGGCCATGATATATAACTAGTACAATTGTCTAGGGTCGAAACCATACGTCATCAAGCTTAATTGAGATTTTATTATAGCAACAAAGGCAAATTTTCTATCTTAAAAGAAATTTAGTGTATTGTTTAAACAATTTGGTGAAAATTTCCTTTGCTAGCAATCCTTATGTTATTTTTTAAAAGGTGTTGAGGGTTTCTTTTATATGTTTTAAGTGCTCAAATGAGCTCTTACTCTTTATAATCATTTTGTCAATATATACTTGGACATTACAGTCGATCTAATCCTTGAAAACTTTGCTAACCAATCTTTGGTAGGTTATCTTAGTATTATTTAAATTGAAGGGCATTATTTTACACCAATACAAACTTTATTCTGTTATAGATGTTATTTTCTCATCATCTTCTTTCAACATTTTAATTTAATTATAGCCTGAATAAATGTTTATAAAACTGAGCAGTACTATCACCTACCAACATATCTATACTAGATAAAGGAAAACTATCTTTTGAGCAGGTTTATTAAGGTTGGTAAAATCCATAAATATTATTCATTTTTCACCATGCTTTTTCACTATGACGATGTCGGTAATCTATTTAGGGTAATATGCTTTCCTGATGAAGCTAATCTTTAGTAGCTTGTCAACTTTTTTTTTATTACTTTTCGTCCTTATTAGACAAAGGTCTTCTTTTTTTGTTAAACTGATTTCATGTTTGGATCAATATATAGCTTGTGGACCATCACCTTAGGATTTATCCTAGGCATGTTAAAAGGGATCCATGTAATCATGTTGACATTATTTCTTAGGAGTTGGATTGTTTGTTGCTTATGGTCTAGCTTGGCCCCAATTTGTATACATTGTTCATTATTGATTTCACAGAACGACATAAAAATAAGGTCTTCTATTAGTTCTAGTCAACCGACATCGACCTTGGGTCTTTGATCAATAATTTTCTTTTGGTTAGTTAGCTTGGGATTGCTTCCTAAGAAAAAGATGAATCCCAACTTAGAAGTTAGTTGATTTGCTAATAAAGTGACATATTGTATAAAGATGAACAAATCAAAATGTAGGTTTGTATTCATATAACCGGCTTAAAAATGTGATTCAATTGATATATGGATATGCAGGCTTCAAAGTGTGGCTTCAATGAATTTTAAAAAAAAAAATTTTCAAGTGTATGTACAAGTATCGAGCATAAGAGTTTGCAGCTACTTAAAATCATGCTTCTCTTCTTTCCTTAGTTTTCTTGTGCTTTTTACTTGAACTATTGTCCTTTATTTCATCCATTTTCTTGACTTTATCCCAACCTTTTTACTGTTATGAGATTCTTTGACATTGGTTGAACTATCAATTTGCTTTCTAGTCCTACTTTTTATGGTTGTCACATAATATTCTTACACCATGGACTGATATCTTCTAACCTCTCTAATGCCATTTGACGTTAAAAACTTGATCTTCATATAAGAATTGAATAAATAATTCTCATAATAGATTGACTAGGTTGACCTAGTATTATATTATATACTAATGGGACATTTACCACCATGAATTTTATGACCAAGGTGACACTCTTCAGCTCGGTACCCAAGAGATTGACAATCTAATGGTTCTCTTGACTAGCACTTGCTCATTCTCAAAGTCGATCAACGTGATAATGATTGGTTTCAACATTTACTCGGTTATGCCCATGTTGAGCATTGTAGCATAATATAAGACATCGGTCGAACTTTCATTATCAAATAAAATCCTCTTCACCACATAACTATAAACCATAGCTTGGATCATAATTGCATCATCATGTGAGAATTTGGTCCCTTTCAAATCTTTATAAGTGAAAAGATCGGTTCATGCTTCTAACTTTTTTGTTTTTTAACCGAAGATCCTATAGCCATCACTATTCTTTAATTAAACTTTTTTTTGGTAAACATAAAGATCCCTATAGTAATCACATTTATAATGATTGTAATGGGCCTGCTATCTACATTATTCCTTTTATCATTTTCTTGTTCGATTCTTAGATTGCCACTACCTCGATTTCCCTTTACTTTGTCTTTTTAATTCCTTCTTGTCATTTTTTTTTGGTTTTTTCTTTTGAAATCTTTTTTCTCTTCACCATGTCTTCCCCAATCCATAAACCTACCCAACCAACATCTTTTGATCAAGTTCTAAATCTCATTTTTTAGGTCGATGCAGTCTTTG